GCATCAAACTGGCCTCACGCAGTGCCCGCGAGGCCTTTCTTTCTTCTAAGCCTTTCTGTTTTATCCCTAGTCATTTACAAGTAGCCCCGCATTTTGTCCAGTCATGTTGGCGGATGTGGTAATGCAGTATCTTTCAATGGCCTAAATTGAGAATAACTGATAACCAAACTTTTCACTTTAGTTTGACACAAATGCTAAGGATATAGCCATTAGTGAAAAAAACTCTAAGCTTTAGTTTGTTGCTATTGCTATTTCTTACAGATTCTTACCAAGGACTCAGTGACTGTATCAGTTGATGCTGTTATTTACTACAAAGTATATGACGCAATGATCTCGGTGGCTAATGTGGAAAACGCTCACCATTCTACACGTCTCCTAGCCCAGACAACTCTACGAAATGTGCTAGGAACAAAACGACTCTCAGAAATCCTCTCTGAAAGAGATGTTATCAGTTCTTCAATGCAGGTACACTGACTGGTAAAAGAAAACTAGGTCGGATCAAACTTAGCCATTTTATAATTTTTTAATAATTACCTACTGTAAACGCATAAAAGCAGTTTTATCAAAAATTAACAAGTTAGAAATCACCTTTTTTTCTTGCTAGCGTCATGAAAGCAAATCATGAAACATTAATAGGCTCATATCTTTTGTACACCCTGCCTAGTAGGTGCGTATCCTTCGGTCAAAATCGATTTACCACTCTTTCAGGGTACTTTTTTTGTATCCTACACTCGACTGACTAGAGATGGCAGGGGGATTTATTTCTGGCACATTTTGACGAGTAGTCAAAATTAAGCGAAGTAACAAGTGATGCTGAAGTTAAGAAATCAGCTACTTTTCAGTCAAGTTTACACTGTTCCATTATTAATCCGAGATGATGCTACACTTCAAGATGCCTCGTTTTGAATCGCTGTGCAGTAAAGTCAACATACAAAATGCTAGAGAGATTTCATGGATCAGGAAATTGGGTGTTCTCCGTGTAAGAGTAGTCGTTTTTGAGATTTAAATTTTGAAAATGAAAAAACTCATGACTTAGATACAATTATTTGGTAGCTTCTTTAAATATCACTTTATCAGGCCAATTCATTTACTCAACTTGACTAAGTTCGCCAATAACCGATATTAAGGAAGCGACGTTCAAGCAACCATTGAAATCCAAATTGCAACCTGGGCTAAAACCAAGCAAGATGAGTCATCAAAATCCATTAGCAAACTGTTCGAATTTCCTGATTACAATGAATTGAAATATGTTGTATTTAAGTCATGCTATTTCGTACATTCAAGTGACAATTTCACAGAAATGGTCTTGCTCTGGAAGTTAAGTCAAGATAAGGTAATATTCGTAAACAGAATCCAGACAAAAATAACGGGTACAAAACCTCCATCTTTTCGATTTCCAGTCGGTAGCAGGCACACTAACCTTCCAATTTACCACAATGCCTACCGCTTTAGTCGGACATTTTTACACTAACCCTTCTCTCCGCGTATTTCTGCAACATTGAAAAGATACGCCTTAACGATGCATAACAAAAGGGTATTTGAACGCAGCCGCTTTTAAAGTATATTTTATGGTCCTTTGATACTTTTAGAGCCTTTTTGTTTATGATGCATTCATGAAAAGTCTACATCGTATTAAAAATCTCCCCAGGTGGAAGAAGCGATAACTGTAGGACAAGGTTTTTGCCTTCAGCAGCCAATTACCGTGCCCACAATTAAGATGTATTTCACATACTACCGATTTACTAACAGCACATAAATTTCGTGAACTTTTGTCGTAAAAAAAATCCTTGTTTCACTTAAGTTCTCACACTTCGCACCTGAAGGAAAACCTGCCATGATATAATTGATCGTTGGCATTTGCAAATTCCCTTTTGCCTACACATAGTCACGTTCGTGGAAAACAAAGACATGTGGCTCCAAGGACTTCCGTAACTGTATAAAAGATTGTCAACTGCTTAACAAGTTAATGCAGAATTTAATTTTGCCTTGTAGAGTGTGCTGGACGACGCAACAGAAGCCTGGGGAATCAAAGTAGAAAGAGTTGAGATGTAAGTCACAAGAAGCAATTTATTGGTACGAGATCCAACGGTACAATTAATTTGAACCCAAGTAGAGTCATATGGGCTCATGACAAACAAGCTGCGCAAACGATCGTCTTAGATTGATAGTGATTTCTTACTGCTTGAAATAAGACCTAGGATCCCATGGACTTTGGACCCAACATCGTAGAAAGCATGCCAATTTTATTAGCTATCAAAGCTTCTAGTTAAGAGTAAATGTTTTTGCGAATATGGAGAGGGTACCTTAAAGAGGTTTCATAAAAAATAGAGTATTACAGCTTGAGTTCACGATAAAGGTTCAAGAACGTGCTTGTTTCCGGTTTGATTGTCTGGAAGAATTTTATGTTGCACATTTGCCACCAAGAAAATCCATTAAAAAGTAATGATTGATTATTTTTGACCACCTTAAACCTAATGAAGCAAACCGCACATAGTTTTAATTGTTAAATGTAGTATATTCAGCGTTTTTAAATCCTATCCCTAATCACAGTAAAGTAAACCTTTCCCTTATATGTTATAAAGGATAGCACTTATGACTTCCTTGTAAAAACTATGGCGCATATGTAATAACCTGATTTAGACAATCGTACGACAAGACATGTGAAATCATTCAGTTTTTTTAAATGCACAGTAAACGCTAGCGATATGCTCTGGGACGTCTCAGAATTCTTCACACTCCCAGCCGGCTAAGAACAACCAAACCCGAAATTTGTTTTGGAGTTCAAAAAGCACCAATGGACGTTTACGTAACTTCAAATTCTTAAACCATAGAAAGTATAGAATTGACAACAGGAATACAAAGTTATTCCACAAACACATGTTTTAATTGAAAGATTTCGTTTTGGATTGACAAGGAACGAAAAATCGAAAACAGTGACACGATGTTTGCAAGAGTGGCATATCTGTCGGCATAAAATTACTCGAATTTCCATCGCACCATGTAACAAATAAGTCATTGAAATAGTATTAAAACGTGATTTCAACACGACAAGATTTTTGTGTTATTTAATTTAAAAGATTGTGTTGGAAATTGGCATCTTTTATTAATTATTTCTGGTTTATGTTTTGTCAACCATGTTAAAGCGAATAAAACTCTTCGTCACATTCTAAGGCTGATTTTATGTAATATGGGCGATACATTCCTGGTGTGATGACTATCTTTAGATTTTAATCTGGTCAACAATATACGAAACACTAGAAATCCTGATTTTAGTAATTCAATAGTATTCGTCAAAACGAAACCTGTTTAAACAAGCTTTAGTGCGTTGGAGGTGAGCTACGAATTTCGATAAGCCTTCAAACTAATTACTTCATGTAACATCAGCAGAAACAATTTAAGCCCAATCTTCTTTTATCACGTACATTCAAAAATTAATATAGCGCGAAAGGGCATGAGTGATTTGGGGAATTAAACTGGGTGTAAACGAATGGCCTTGCTGGTAGGATAACTTGTCAAAAATGTGAATTCAATGCGTGGTATATTTGCTTCAAACGCCGCTTATCGCATTTATCTCATCATCCAAGATTTTTTGTCAGTCAACTGGGCTTCAATAGGATTCATGATCAATGAGGATATCAAACTTACTTCAAAGTATTTCGAAACTTTGTGATTTATCAATTTTTTGATTCAGATGACCTGACATTCTACACAGATTTTGATTCAATGCCCAACTATAGCATTTTATCAGAAGCGGTTAAAAACAGATAGGGTTAGTTTAATGTATTACGGTAACAAATCCTTTTTCTCTTACAGGAAAATATCTTGTAGCTCGAAAAACTCTAGGAATGTTTAAAACACAGGGGAATGTATTTGATTAAAATGAAATTATTCAATGTAAGCTTATCCGAAAGTGCATAGAGTGCGTTCTGATTAATGGCGTTTTATGCTTTTGTTTAACACAGTACTTTTCTTGACACTGAGCCCATTTTTTGTAAATAGCCACTAGTCCAATGAAAGCGTGGCCCCAAAGAAATTTATTGACTCATTAGATGCTGTTGCATTAAAATCGTCTTACTTTTATGAAAACAAACATTATTTTCATGGGCTATTGCCAATGGAGTGTATCCATTTTAGTTTTAGAAGGAAAACGTCCTCCTAGGGTTTTGGTCATGTTTCCTTAGCCAAAATTTCGCCACTTAAAAGCTATAATAAGCAAAATAGCAGAAAAACAAATCCGAACATTTTGAAGTGAAACTTGGCAGAGGCATGAAACGGCTCTGACTGCATTAACTAAAATATAACAAACCTGGGGTATAATAATCAGTCATGTGCACTTTTTTCATTTTGTGCTTGATATAATCTGTTGCAGATTTTTATCACTGTTCCTCCTTTTAGAAAAGATGTTCGTCTTCCAGTGCAACTTCAGAGGGCCATGGCCGCAGAAGCGGAGGCAACTCGCGAAGCCCGCGCTAAAGTAGGCAGTTTACCATTATAAATCGAACTAGTAAGCTGTGAGTCACAAGAATACAAAACTCGTTTCAATGTTACATTAGTTAACTTTTTAGTGAAAGCAGTCACTTGATTAGAAATAAATATACTTGGTCAGAACTAACCAAGCACGAATTAAAGAGTATTCTGCCAATCTACGGGTTGATTTATAATAAAAATTGCAGTTATAAAATTTAGTCTTAATTCGCAACTTATTGAACAACCAGGTTGAAGTTCAGTGCCAGCTGACGCGCATTGGCGGAAGCTTGTCAGAACACGTCTGGTTACAATTGGCTGGTATTATTTACACTTCCATTCAGTGGCCTTGGTCCACTGGCCCTCTAAAAACACGCTGACGCGCAGATGCATGACAAATCATGCCCAGCGGGCGAGTAAACGGTTGTGCCCATCACGTAGCGCTGACTTCGCGTCACATTCTATGTTCTCGACTTCTTTGGGTATCACCTAGCAATGGGGCCATAATTGCGGCCAACTGTCACAGGCTATGCATTACTAAATGTTTTCGACATGGGAAAAGTTTCATTTAGCGGCATTAGAGTTACTTAACAAAACACCGACAGCATTCTTCACAGTATTAAGATTTTCTGTGAAGAAGGGCATAGCACAGAAGTCTGCAGAGGTTTTCGTTTCAACTCACGCAAGAATCCACCAGGTTTGCAACAAACTGCTGAATAATCCCCGGTTTTTCATCACAGACCGGGTTTTAAGCACATTCGAAGAAGAAAGTCCAGAGGTGCAGCATCATGTGAACAAGGTAAATACCCACGCACCC